GCTAGAATCTATGTGTAATATCGAGAGGTATCTTTGTAAAATGGATGCAGGATGTTGCTATCTATGGTTATTTGCATAGTAACAGTGAAGCAGTGTAAGGTAGGTAATGAGGAAAAACAAGGGAAATTTAAAACAGCAACGAATGGGAGTGGGGCCTGACTGCTGAGCTGAGTGGATGCTAGTTACTTTGGGTCCTGCTCTTCTCAGCTAATGTTTTAGAAAAAGACAGCCTTTACTCGACTTATATGGGCGAGAGGTGACAGCAAGGTGGTCATGATGATCCCAAATGAGCAGTCCTTCCTGCAGGATTTACCTGAGCACTTTATAGGGCTTACCAGCAAAGACGGCGCAGGGGAGGCGGTCTCTTCCCCAGCACCACTCATGGCTGTCACAGTGACTCTGGGCCCTCGTTCCCATGTGGTCTCAGTTATGGGCAAGGATTCACTGGCAAATGGAACAAGCTGCAGCAGCAGCTGTTATCCAGTCTGACACCTTGCGAAGTGCCTCAGAAGAGGCCTCGACACCGGCCACAGTCCAAGTTGGGATATTCCCAGCACAAAAGCCTTGGAAGGTTCTTAATAATCTAATGAAGAAGCAGTATACTGAAGGGTCCTGAGACCATACCTTGGATACACCTAGAGAAGGGACCTGTGAGTCCAATGCAGAAGATTGGGATACAGCCCGGGGCTGGTGGGAAGCTGATATGTGGGACTTGGGACTGGGTTACAGTTGGGGCAGTATGCATACTGTGTCGGGCATATTGCTGAATACCTTCTTTGCTAATGAATACCTCCAATGCCTTAGAGTCAGCAAATCTTTATTTTATCTTTATTCGGTTAGTGCCCAGTGGTAATACTAATCGTTTAACTCTAAGCATGTTCTCTTAAATTACTTTATTGACGTTTGACCTATCTATATTTCATGCGTGTCAGTACTGTTTTCTTACATGCTGGGCAATGTTATACTTAACACAAAAAAAAATGTGCAGTTCCTCATGACATTCTGTAACGTAATTAACAACCTGAAACAGCTTGTTTTGTTTTACACTGAATGTCACTATCAATTTTTTTTATATGTCTCTGCACACCCAAAGAATGTAAAAAAAAAGAAAATAAATTAAAACAGCAATGAAAAACCCAAACCAAAATATATACAGGATGACTCATTTTGAATTCTTAGTACAAGTGGTACATATTTGATAAAGGCATGATGATATAGGCCATATTTTATGCGAGGATCTGGGCCTGGAAAATAGATAATGTGTTTCCATATATAGAAGGTGAGTGTCAGTGACCCTGTCTCACTTAACTGGAGTTTCCTCGCAGCGTCACTTGTCAGTACATGCCAGTCCCTCAAGCATGTTCACTGCCGAGGGAGGAAAAGCTGACATCTTGACCTTTCACTAAAGCAATGCCGTGGCTCTTTCTATCTCGCCAATGCCCACGCTTGCTGTACAGTCTCACCCAGTTTTCACCATAGTCCTCACATTCTTCTTATGACATCACAGGTGAACATTCACCTAGAGAACAGCTTCTTAAAGGGGAGGGGGACATAATGAGCAGAGACCAGTTAACCAACAAAGTGGAATAGGTGTGGACCTTTTCCTTATAAATCCACATCTCACCATGTCCCCCGTGCTCAGTAATACTGTTCTCTCAGTGCATACATTTTATAGTGATTTCTATTGTCTCCCTGTTTCTTGATCCATATGCATGTTATTATTATTATTATTATTATTATTATTATTATTATTGGTATTTATATAGCATCAGCATATTCCATAGTGCTTTACAATATTATCAGGGAGGGAAATTTAACAATCAATGAGACAATTACAAAAACAATAGTTTGAGGAGGACTCTGCTCAAAAGAACTTACAGGTGGGATATAAAACAATAAATCACAATAGGACAGAAGATAGTAATCAGACAATCAGATGGGAGTGAAGCAAAACTGGAGGAGAGAGTAGAGTGCTGCCCTTTAGGAGAGAGCAAGGGACAGGTATGTGAGAGACCAGAAGCTTTCCTGAAGAGATGTGTTTTAAGGCACTTCTTAAATATTGAAGACTAGGGGAGAACCTGATGGTGGTAGGCAGGTTAATTCAAAGGAAAGGAGCCACATGTGAAAAGTCCTGCAAGGTTGAGTTGGCTGTATAAGTGTGAGCAGCCGTCCAGGAGATGGTCATGCTCGGAGAGACCGAGAATGGGCATACCTATGGATCAGTGAAGGTATATAGGAGGGGATAGAATTGTTCAGTGCTTTATAGGTGTAGATTAGTACTTTGAATTGACTCTTATAGGAAACAGCAAGTCAATGTAAGAACAGACAGAGGGGAGAGGTGTGAGAGGAGCCACAGGAGAGGAAAATCAGTCTAGCGGCAGCATTCATTACAGACTGTACTTGGTTGATACTCCATTTCTTATCCTGTGTTGCCTGCCCCTGACCTTGGCTTTTCCTGACTATGAGTTTGCTAAACCCTTTTTGGTACCTCACTTTTTGGTATATTTCTGGTACCTGGCTCCTTCTATCAAAACAGTAACAGTGAGTCAGTATTTATAAGCGTACCAGCAATCAGTTAGCCAAAAACATCAACCTACTAACCCGCAAATTTTTTTTGACAGATTATGTGAATATAGCATTCCAGGGCATTTGCCTAATATTTTATACCAAATAGACAGTGTGAGTAAAAGATCATAAGGAGGGAAACATTGCAACAGGATTAGTCTACTAAAGAGATTGATCTATGATGGCATGAGTAACCTAAACATAAAACTAGATCTGAAGTATTCTTAACATAAGATAAAGCAAGATAATAATATATTTTATGGGGATATCATTAATACGTAGATATGTTTTTCCATTCCAAGAATACTAGGCATGTCCATGGGGAAAATATTCGGCTCGGTTCGGCATTTCAAAATTCGGGACTTCGTCAATTCGGCACTTCGACACTTCGGAACTTCGGCAACTTCGGCACTTTGGCACTTCGACACTTCGGTGCTTCGGCACTTCGGAACTTCGGCTCTTCGGAACTTCGGCAACTTCGGCAACTTCGGAACTTCGGCTATTTCGGAACTCTGGCATTTTGAGACTTCTCTTGCAGCCACTTGGTAGATAACTCCCTAATTCCCACGGTATTAGGGAGTTATCTACCAAAAGGCTGAAAGACCTAAATTGTTTTTTCAGCCACATTTACTAATACTAAGTAAAAATAACTTAGTATTAGTAAATTTTACATGTCTATTAAACAGTGAGCAACCTGTGGCTGCTCACTGTTAAAAAAAAAAAAAACCTATTGCCCCCACCCGGCCTCCACCGCTGAGCAGCGGGTGGGGGCCCTAAAGTAAAAAAAAGGGGGGAGGATCTATTGTCCTCCCCACCAGCCCTCACCCCTGAGCGGTGGGTGGGGGCCCTAAATAAAAATTGGGGGTGGGGGACCTAATGTCCTCCTCCCTGGCCCCCACTGCTGAGTGGTGGGTGGGGGCCCTAAACTAGAATAAGGGGGGGGACCTAATTCTTTGGAATTTTCCCACGCTCTGTAATTTGACTCATAACTCTCTGATTGGTTACTTAATCCACCAATCAGAGTGTTATGAGTCAAATTACACAGTGTGGGAAAATTCCAAAGAACTTTCCCACGCTGTGTAAAATGACACAGAGCACTCTGATTGGTGGATTTCAAACCAACAAATCAGAGTGCCGTTACAGGTAAATGTAGAGGGGGGTTAAATTTGTATTTAGGGCCCACACCCGCTGCTCAGGTGTGGGGGCCAGGGGGAGGACATTAGGCCCCCCTTATTCTAGTTTAGGGCCCCCACCCACCACTCAGGGATGGGGGCCAGGGGGAGGACATTAGGTCCCCCCCCCTTATTCTTGTTTAGGGCCCCCACCCACCACTCAGGGGTGGGGGCCAGGGGGAGGACATTAGGTCCCCCCCTTATTCTAGTTTAGGGGCCCCACCCACCGCTCAGGGTTGGGGGCCAGGGGGAGGATATTAGGTCCCCCCCAATTTGTATTCTGGGCCCCCCGCTCAGGGTTGGGGGCCAGGTGGGGGGACATTAGGTCCCCCCTTATTCTTGTTTAGGGGCCCCACCCACCGCTCAGGGGTGGGGGACAGGGGGAGGACATTAGGTCCCCCCCTTATTCTTGTTTAGGGCCTTTTGGGTGAGGGGGTGAGGGGGTGACTAGGTGTTTGGGGACCCCTAGTCACCTGGGGCGGGGGGTTAAAATTGTATTTAGGGCCCACACCTGCTGCTCAGGGGTGGGGACCAGGGGGAGGACATTAGGTCCCCCCCCTTATTCTAGTTTAGGGCCCTCACCCACCACTCAGGGATGGGGGCCAGGGGGAGGACATTAGTTCCCCCCCCTTATTCTTGTTTAGGGCCCCCACCCACCGCTCAGGGGTGGGGGGCAGGGGGAGGACATTAGGTCCCCCCTTATTCTAGTTTAGGGCCCCCACCCACCGCTCAGGGGTGGGGGCCAGGGGAGGACATTAGGTCCCCCCCCAATTTGTATTTAGGGCCCCCACCCACCGCTCAGGGGTGGGGGCCAGGGGGGAGGACATTAGGTCCCCCCCTTATTCTTGTTTAGGGCCCCCACCCACCGCTCAGGGGTGGGGGCCAGGGGGGAGGACATTAGGTCCCCTCCTTTTTCTAGATTAGGGGTAGCGCAGGATGATGTCCCGGTTCAGGTTGGAGTTGGCATTGGTTGTGTTGGGGATGCAATATAAGCTGTCCACAGTTAGTTTGCGAGCTTGCGTGGGAGGTAGTATGGTTGCCAGGAGGCGTTGTACATAGTGGGGTAATGCCCCCGATTTTAATGTTTGCGCGGCATTGTCTATCCTCCATATTTGTGATTTTTGTTGATAGAATGCTTTGATGCGTTTGCAGTTGGTGGATAGAGTCCTGCATAGCCTGCATGGTGAAGTGTGTATCTGCTATGTCCTGCTCCGTGGCTTTAACTCTGTCTCTTACGGCCTGTAGCTGTGTTTTAAATATGGCCTAATCCGCCGCCAGAAGCTTATGGATGTCAGCCAGTAGAGCCTTTAGGTCCCCCCTGGTCTTTGGGGCTGAGTCGTCAGAGGGGTCTGCTGGTGCGGTAAGTGCTGTTTGGGGCCGTGAGGGTACCTCTGTTTCCCGGTGTTCGGGTCCGGGTGCAGTTTGCCTTTGGTCTCCGGCCGGGGTGTGTCTGGGCCTCTGCCACATCGACCCGATGTCCCTGTTGTCCGGCTCGGTGGCGGGTCTTTGAGATTTGCGGCCCATTGTCTGTGTATCAGGTGACCTGTTGGGTGAGGTCCTATTCCGCCCTGCCGCAAAATTCCTGTAGAGGAATGACTCGAGGCTGGCGATCTGCAGCGGGCGGTAGGCCTCGATTTTCCAGCGCTGCTTCAGATGTTTCTGCAGCTGTACAAAGGGCATCTATAGATGCGGTCTGGGCTGTATAGTCCGATTTTGGTAGTTTGGAGGCTGGATGGCCCTCCATTTTTGTGATATTCTGTGGATTACGCGGTTGTTTGGAGGAGCTCCAGAATATGGCGTCTCGCTCGGTCTGAGTGCTAGCCCCGCCCCCCAGTAGTTGTTTTTTAATATGAGCTGAACAGGAACCTAGTACTGGTATATCGTTACAAATCCCATCAACACTATTATGCCATGTAGTTATCAATTTTTGTATTGGTGTGTGTAAAGAGGCTTGTAGAAAAGATTTAGTAAGTGGTTCTTCCTGAAGGGGAACCTCAATATCCAAGTGCGTGGTACTTCATCTGATCTCCCATCGCCGTCTTGCATTTCTGGCCTCACAGTTTGTATTGATGAGGAACATTTCTGGCTGAAGAAATTCAGCTTGTTGGTCTTATCTTGCTGTCTTTTAGATTTACTCTGATACATGATGTAAATCAAACTTGTTTCAAGGTTGTTTGTCACATTCTGTATTGAATTTGCCAGTGACCGTATTGCAGAGCTTCAGCTCATCTTCCACAATGTCCAGCCCTTCTAGTTGTTTTTAATGCAGAGATACCATTTGAGATATTTATGAAATCCTTTTCCACCTTTAGAGACATAGCCAACTGGTAATTTTATGATACAAATCTGCAATATTTAATAGTGCCAAAAGTATTTTCTTACAGAAATCCTTACATACACATCCCCCTACTTTGTCTACTACCACTTCTGTATCCTATGACTTTTACAACAAATTATTTAAAATAATAAAACCATTAGCTGAATTTTGCACAGCTATTAGAATATTGTTTGGATTTATGTCAGTAGTTTGTGTAAGTTGTTGCTTTCTTAATGCTTTGGGAAATTTTAAAGCTGTTTCCTTTGGTTTGAGAGTCTTGCCGTTTTGACAAGTAACAGGTGACATCATAACACTTCAGTAGTCTGAGATTGCGCTACATAGGGGTTTAAAAACACTACTCTTAAATGTTTCCTTCTAAGCCTGGGGGAGTGCTCTGGAGCTCTGAAATGCTGTTTATTATTCTATCATTATGTCCCTGGCATTTTTGCCATGTTCTTCTTTCAAAGTTAATTTTATATTGACTCTACATAGAAAGATATTTGTTTCCTGCAAAAGTGTTGAGTGCTCATTCCTGAAGGGCGTTTACTCAGGAGTAGTTCACATGCCTAGAACAACATACATCTATAATTATCAGCCAACAGGACCTTAATTTGACCAGGATTGGGCAATAAATACAGGCAGACACTGTGTACTTTTAGACATGTAGTAAAGTGGCTCTTTAATATTGATATCTTGTTACCTAAAATAACATCAGTTGAAATTTGCGTAAATATTCAGAGGAACAATTTATTAATTATGGACAATTGCTAGGAATTGAAACACTGCACATCTGGATAAGGCTTTAATCACAGGGATTATAATTATCCATACATTTATTGAGATAGAGAGAGACTATCAGTGCACCTAAGAAAAGCAATAATTCAATTTGTTACATTCAATATTCAAGTATCTAGATACACGTGTGTGTTTTTGTCAAATATCCATGTAAACACGTGGGAAGAAATTACCATAATGTTTTTTTGTTTGTTTTTTAGTTCATTCTTTATAGATTTTTTTAACATTAAAAAACATTAAAAAAGACATGCAATAAAGTGATTTCATTCGATCTCCATATTTCAATACTTTGGATCTTTTTACTTCCTTTTTCTTTCCCTTTTCCTTCCCTCTCTTCCCTCTCTTCCTCTATCTTTCCTTTTCTCTTTTTATCCCTTTTTTTCCTTGTTTAGCACATTTTTTTTATTAGTTTTTAAGGGAATGATACGTTATATTCCTTATATTTATCTTTGATCTTCATAATTAAACATTTAGAAAATAAATCTGTATTGCTAAACACACATTTAAAAATGTTCGCAGATTTTTTTGCACAGCCCACAAACTCCTTTTTTTTTGTTTTTTCGAGTAACACTTTTCAGGGTACTCACTTTTTTTTTTACATTTTGCTTCTTTCTAGGCTTACTTATCTATGAATGATGACCACTTATTTAAATCCTTGTGTAAAGATATTATCACTAATCTGGGATATTCCTTCTTCCATACTTAAAGGACCACAATAGACACTTCAGCTCAGACCACTTCAGCTCAGACCACTTCAGCTCAATGAAGTGGTCTGGGTGACAGGTCACCCTGGTTTTAACCCTGCAGCTGAAAACATAGCAGTTTCAGAGAATCCAGCCTCTAGTGGCTGTCTACCTGACAGCCACTAGGGGCCGCTTTCGCAATTCTCGGAGTGAAAATTGGTTTGAATGCGTGCAGCTCTGGCCGTGCATGTGCATTCGGAGCTGACGTCTGCAAGGGGAGGAGAAGTCACCAGCGCTGAGGGAGCCCGGCGCTGGTTTAAGGTAAGTGGCTGAATGGGTTTTAACCCCTTCATCCCAGCGGTGAGGATGGCAACAAGGGAGGGGGGGGGGGCTAATAGCCCTATAGTGCCAGGTTTATTTTCCTGTCACTGTAGTGCTCCTTTAATTGATAATTTATCTAGTTTTTAACATAAGACCATGTTTACTTTTTTTTTCAATTTAAAATTGTGTTCTATTCCACCTCCCATCTTTTTATTTTTTGTTCATTCTCTTCTTTGCCCTGCTGTGGCCACCCCCAAACTAACCTTACAGTCAATAGCATGCTACTTTACCGACAAGATTGAACATCTAAGGAAAGAATTCTCCCCACCTTGCCGTTCTCTTTCTCAACCACACATAGATCATTCCTTTCCTACCCTTCAGACTTTCTCCCCGGCTACTGAATAAGAGGTGGCTGCACTTCTCCTTTGCTCTCGCCCCACAACTTGCCCGCACAATCCTCTCCCATCTCACTTTATCAGATCTCTCTCACCTTGTCTTGTGCCTTCCTTAACACACATCTTCTCTCGCTTCTGGCATTGTCACTGCTTACCTTAAAGATACCACTGTAGTACCTATCCTGAAAAAAAACATTCTCTTGACCCGTCCTTCCCCTCTAACTATCGTTCCATATCGCTGCTCCCTTTTTCCTCAAAGTTTCTGGAAAGACTTGTCTTTACTCATATGTCTCACTTCCTCAATTCCAACTCTTTCCTTGACTCTCTTCAATCTGGCTTCTGCCCTCTCCACTCTACGGAGACTACTCTTATCAAAGTTACTAACAACTGAATCGCAGCTAAATCCAAAGGCCGCTACTCCATACTAATTCTTCTTGACCTCTCTGCTGCCTTTGACACCGTTGATCATGCTATCCTTCTTCAAACTATTCAATCACTCAGTCTCTGTGACTCCGTCCTCTTGTGGTTTTCCTCTTATCTCTTCCAATGCTCATTCAGTTTCTCCTTTTCTAATGATTTTTCCTTGGTCCCCTTCTATTTTCTCTTTATACTGCCTCTCATGGCAAACTTTTTACCTTGTTTGGATTCCACTACCACCTGTACGCTGATGACACGCATATATATCTCTCCTCCCCAGACCTCTCCCCTGCCGTCTTGCAATGTGTCACTGCTTGCCTTTCTTCCATCTCTGCCTGGATGTCCTCCCGCTTTCTGAAACACAATCTCTCTAAAATTTAGCTCCTTGTCTTTCCTCCTCCTAATACTGATCCTCCTCTTTTGCTCTCCCTTCAAGTTAGTGGTATCCAAATAAGTCCATCCTTGCAAGCGTACTGTCTTGGTGTCATACTTGATTCTGGCCTCACCTTTGAGCCTCACATCCAGTATGTTGCCAAATACTGTAGATTCTATCTTAAAAACATAGCCCGCATCCGCCCCTTTCTTACGCAAGATGCTACCAAGGAGTTTGTCCATGCTCTAGTAATTTCCCGCTTGGAATATTGTAACCCTCTCCTTCCCAAATGTTGTATTGCCCCGCTACAGTCTGTAATGAATGCTGCCGCCAGACTGATTTTCCTCTCTAGTCGGTCCTCTCACACCTCACCCCTCTGTCAGTGATTACATTGGCTTTCTGTATCCTATAGAAGTCAATTCAAAGTGCTAGCCCATACCTGTAAAGCACTGAACAATTCTAGCCCCTCTTATATCTCTACACAGGTCCATAGGTATGGACCTTCTCCTGTCTGCTGCTTGCACTCGTACTGCCAACTCACGCTTGAAGGACTTCTCGTGGGCAGCTCCCTTCCTATGGAATAGTATTCCTACCGCCATCAGACTCTCCCTAGTCTTGCATCTTTTAAGACGTACCTTAAAACCCATCTCTTTAGGAAAGCTTATGGCCTCCCAGAGTAACCTCTACCTTACATACCTGTCTCTCACTCTCTCCTAAAGGGCAGCACTCTACTCTCTCCTCCAGCTCTGCTTCACTCCCATCTTATCTGATTGCTATTTCCTGTCCTAATGTATTTTTTACCCCACTTCTTATAGACTGTAAGCTTGTTTGAGCAGGTTCCTCTTAAACCTATTGTTCCTGTAAGTTTTCTTGTAATTGTCCTATTTATAGTTAAATTCCCCCTCTCATAATATTGTAAAGTGCTACTTAATCTGTTGGCGCTATATAAATGGCAGTAATAATTATAATAATAATAGGAAGGAAATCTTAGCTGCTATTATAATATGAACAAGTAGGTATTTGGTTATTTTTGGCCACGTAAGATGTAGGATAAATGACTCTACATCATAATTTATTTGTGGAAGTTCTAATTATTTAGGAGATCTCTAATCATTTCCCATAATGTTTTTAATTGATTGCATTCCCACCATATATGGGGGAATGTTCCTTCTAAATGATCACATCTCCAACATATATTCGTAATTGAAGAATTGCTTTTATTTAACTTTGTTGGTACCATATTTGTGTCATTTTATATTGAACCTCTAGCAATGTATGTTCTGTTTAAGTTCTATCATTATTTTATACCAATCAACCATTTTAAAGGTTTTCCCTATATCTTTCTCCCATGTTTTGAATGCTTTTAACTTATTTTCTGT